CGCTGGGCCTCGCTCGTCTGCTTGTGTCATGGTCCAAGCTTCGGAGCCATACATGCTATACATGACGAATGAGCATTTTATAAATCTGTGTCTTACTCTCTGTAGATATAAATTTTATTTTCTAAAAAAGATTTTTAAAAAATAACTTTTCTGTTGAAATCTATATTATGTATTTCCTTGTAACAATATTTATGACAGTACTATATATATATATATTTATACATATATTTACTATAATTTATATATATATATATATATATATATATATATATTATATATTTATATATATATATATATATAACTGAGTAATGGAATGTATAAAGCAACCCATCCTATGTTGTAGAGCAGCATTACTTTGAATAAAGTATATGTATCTCTCTCTCTCTCTCTCTCTCATGTTTAAAAAACATAAAGTAAAAGGTTGTTTGCTGATATATATTCTTAAATTTTGCTTCTTTGTTTGTTTCCACAAACTATTTTGTTTTGATATATATATATAATTTTGTTGGTTCCGAATTATAAGCATAATTCCTAATAAAAATTGAAATTATAATTTATATGTTGAATTCATCCCAATCCCTTCATTATCAACTAACGTATTCTTGGTTTCCCATTAGTTCACATTCGTTGATTCGATCTATCTATCTGGTTTTTGGCCTCCTACGTGTTCTCTTACCTACTGATGGAGGTATTCATTTTTGTTTAGCTGCTTTCCGGTGGATTTCTTCGAGGTACATGGCCTACCCATCTTAACCTCCTCACCGTCATATCATGGGTTACTGATTGAACAATTTCAGAACAATTCTTTATTGGTCCTTCTTCCCTAGTGCCCTGATAACAGATCGCTTCGGTAATCTCTATCAATACCTCTTTTAGGGTATTGATTCGTGTCGAGGTCTCAAAGCCGTACATCAGAAATGGCTTTATCATACTATTGTACACTCTTAATTTGAGATTTCTAGAGATTTTAATAGCTTTGAAAGAGAGGAGAAAGCTCTGTTTGCGATTATTATACGCTGCTCTATTTCTGTCCGTTTATCATTCATTGAGGTTATTGGGGAGCTGAGGTATTTGATTATGTCTACTCTCGGGAACTATTTTTTCTTCTACTTAGATTTTCAGCAACAATTCCTGTTATTGGGATAAAAGTTTCGGCCTACTGCATACATTTTGTTTTATCTTCATTTGCCTGTAGGCCAATTTTTCTACATTTCTTATGTTTGTTATGTATTGTAGCATAATTATTTTTTACATTATTTTGTTAGTTAAATATTTAGACTTAAAAATACATAGAAAAGTCCAAAATGTACTTTCGTGGGGAATGAAACGGAACTAATTGGGAAAACGAGCTTTTTATCGAACTCCTTAGTACTGCAACAAAAGGCAATACAACAAGGCATTTCCACTCCACAAAAAAAAAAAAACAGAAAACAGAATAGGCACAACCTTGATACTGCCCATCAATTTAAGGCAAAGCAGGAGGGGTGGTTCGAATGACAATAACTGGTGCCACCTACGTCAGTAATTATACCTCTTCTATTCTCTTCAAGGTCTGTGGAAAAAACAGAACAGCCTGTGCCTTTATTGTAGCAACAATTCTCTTCGTAGTGCACTGTTCTAATTTTCTTTTTGTTTCTGGAGGTAATGTTCATCCATGTTTTATCTCCATTAAACAATGGGCGAAAAGAGAATTTAATTTCTTGTACCTTCATGTACCAATGGAGATTTGGCAATGTCGACTACAACGTGTTTTTGGTCCATGGTGAGCAAACTAGGTTGTAAAAATAGTGTGAGCGGTCCGCTATCTCATGTATAAATCTTGATTTTGGACAGTAGCAGATCCACGGGAGAGGAAAAGGGGAAAATTTCCGCTCATGAAATAACCATTAAGAAAAGAAACATACGTTCATTAAAAAATACCTACTAGTACCAGTACTTGTGAATAATTGTACATGAACTATCATTTATTAAACAGGAGGACAATAGATTAATTACAATTTCTTTCAAACACAAGGTAATATTTCTCTCAAGTTTTGTCGTCACCCTTCCCTCCAAAAACGCTACCTTACCTGTGGATCCGTCCCTGATTCAGATGAGGCTGAAAATGTATTTTATGCCCTAACAATGACAAATTGACTCCTTAGCAAATTTGACTAAATTGCCTCCTTTTATAACCGTTAATCATAAAACAATACTTTGATAACTAGTGCAAAATTCAATACATCCCTTAAGTCAAAAATGAAGAGAAAAAGAGGAAACTCTAATAGCTGTAAACGAATCTTCCATTTTATTTTAAACAAGCAAAAACATACTTAAATTTTAGTCATTGAACTATGGGAAAGTCCTAAAATTCAATGTATTTTAAGCACAAAAAAATTGCTCTATAGCATTTCCAAGTCAAATTCAACCTTTTCCATTTCAAATTCAACCTTTTTTTATTTATTTAATTATTTTTAATTTTTTTTATGTATGGGTCAGTTATCGTATGAGTGTTTTTTTTAAATAACATCCATTTTAATATTACACCACACCGTTCCGTTTATTTGAGTTTTTCGAATTTATTCGATATTAGGCTCTACTTCATATGTTTCCGGAGCCTTAGATTTTGAAAATGACCTCCATTTTAACATACGCCACTGCGTTACGACTAATTTAAGTTTATCGGATTTATTCGATACAATTGTGTATTCTTATGTTTCCGGAGCCGTAGATTATAAAAATAACATCCATTTTAAGATAAGTCCACTGCATTTCGAGTTATTTAAGTTTTTCGGATTTATTCGATACAATTGTGTATTCTTATGTTTCCGGAGCCGTAGATTATAAAAATAACCTCAATTTTAAGATTGCGCCACTGCGTTTAGACTTATTTAAGTTTTTCGGATTTTTTTTCCATATAAGGGTGTATTCTTACGTTTCCGGAGCCGTAGCTTTTGAAAATGACCTCCATTTTAAGATAACGCCACTACATTTCGAGTTATTTAAGTTTTTCGGATTTTTCTATATAAGGGTGTATTCTTATGATTCCGTAGCCGTAGATTTTGAAAATGACCTCCATTTTATAATTACGCCACTGCGTTTCGACATATTAAAGTTTTTTTGGAATTATTCGATACAAGGGTGTATTGTTATGTTTTTGGGGCCGTGGATTTTGAAAATGACCTCCATTTTATAATTACGCCACTGCGTTTCGACATATTAAAGTTTTTTTGGAATTATTCGATACAAGGGTGTATTCTTATGTTTTTGGGGCCGTGGATTTTGAAAATGACCTCCATTTTATAATTACGCCACTGCGTTTCGACATATTAAAGTTTTTTGGAATTATTCGATACAAGGGTGTATTCTTATGTTTTCGGGGCCGTAGATTTTGAAAATGACCTCCATTTTAAGATTACGCCACTGTGATTCGACATAGTGGCGTAACGCTACAAGATTCGACCTAATTAATTTTTGTATCGAATAAATCCAAAAAACTTTAATATATCGAAACGCAGTTGCGTAATCATAAAATGGAGGTCATTTTCAAAATCTAGGGCTCCGGAAACATAAGAATATATCCTTACATGGAAAAATTCAGAAAAACTTAAATAAGTCGTAACGCAGTGGCGTAATGTTAAAATTATTCGATACAAGGGTGTATTCTTATGTTTTCGGGGCCGTAGATTTTGGAAATGACCTCCATTTTAAGATTACGCCACTGTGATTCGACACAGTGGCGTAACTCCACAAGATTCGACTTATTTAATTTTTGTATCGAATAAATCCAAAAAACTTTAATATATCGAAACACAGTGGCGAAATCATAAAATGGAGGTCATTTCATTCAAAAGCTATGCCTTCGATATTATAGTAAGTGGGAAAAAAAATTCGAAAGTTGAATTTGAAATGGAAAAGGTTGAATTTGACTTGGAAAAGGTTGAATTTGAAATGAAAAGTTTAATTTGAAATGTTAACGGTTGAATTTGATTGGAAATGATTTAATTTGAAATGGAAATTGTTGAATTTGACATAGAAAAAGTTGAATTTGACTTGGAAAAAGTTGAATATGACATGGAAATATTATACTGAAAAAATGGAAAAGGTTGAATTTGACATGGAAAAGGTTGAATTTGACTTGGAAAAAGTTGAATATGACATGGAAATATTATACTGAAAAAATGGAAAAGGTTGAATTTGACATGGAAAAGGTTGAATTTGAAATGGAAACCGTTGAATTTGATTGGAAAAGTTTGAATTTGACTTGGAAAAGGTTGAATTTGACTTAGAAAAGGTTGAATTTGGCTTGGATATGATATGATATGGATTTGAATATGACATGGAAATATTATACTGAAAAATCTAAAAAGTTAAAATAAACAGATATGCAACCGCGTTATCATATTTTTTTTGTATTTTTCAAAAGCTGTGCCTTCGATATTATAGTAAGTGGCCTTCATTTCGAAAAAAAATCGAAAGTTGAATTTGAAATGGAAACGTTTAATTTGATTTGGAAAAGTTTGAATTTGACTTGGAAAAAGTTGAATTTGACTTGGAAAAAGTTGAATATGACATGGAAATATTATACTGAAAAAATGGAAAAGGTTGAATTTGACATGGAAAAGGTTGAATTTGACATGGAAAAGGTTGAATTTGACATGGAAAAAGTTGAATTTGACTTGGAAAAAGTTGAATATGACATGGAAATATTATACTGAAAAAATGGAAAAGGTTGAATTTGACATGGAAAAGGTTGAATTTGACTTGGAAAAAGTTGAATATGACATGGAAATATTACACTGAAAAAATGGAAAAGGTTGAATTTGACATGGAAAAGGTTGAATATGACATGGAAAAGGTTGAATTTGAAATGGAAACCGTTGAATTTGATTGGAAAAGATTGAATTTGAAATGAAAAAAGTTTAATTTGACTTGTATAAGGTTGAATTTGATTTGGAAAAGGTTGAAATTGACTTGGAAATGCTATATATTTACTGTTCGATTCATACCTCTTTGTGCATCGTGTTTGGGCTCTTCTGTCAAAGTTGCTTGAATTTAAGTTAAGTTAGTAATTCAAATATGTTTCGGAAACCTGTTAAAACTAAAACATTTTTTAACTTAAAATCGTCGGATAAGTGAGTTTATTTTCTTTTTAATTTATTTTTTCACAATCATATCTAAGTTAAAATTAATTTTTATTATAATTGTTTACCAAATAGGTTAACTGTTAAACGTGATACTTGAAATCTTTATCAATTTTTACAATTCTTGTCAGTATTCATGTTATCAACTTTTACAATTTAAAAAACCTCACTTGGTAAAACTTGTTTTGTTTTTTTTGATTTGGTGAGTAATTTTAAATCCTTATATACAGATACTAGATTGTGATATATATCTCATTAACTAAATTATTGAATTAGTTTTCCCATTGATACCATAATATTTAGAAAGGCTGCCTATTCAAAAAAGTCAAAATCATTCGATCATAGCAGGACCATAATTTAAGTAGTATATTCATTGACCACAAAATGTATTTTCTCCTATAGAACTAGTTAGCAGGAAAAGGTAATAAATCATAGGAAATACGAAAAAAAAATTTACCTAACTCCATTTTGTTTGTGAATTCATGTATTATCTTGAATTCTCACATTAGTATTATTTAGCCATCTTGAAACTTTCCAACTTTGACCATCACAATGGAATTTTTTTTACCTTATATGGTATGGTATAAGGGGAGCAGGATAGCTCAGTGGACTAAGGCTCCTATTCTCTCTGGCCCAGAATTGATTTTAGCTGTGGCTGATAATTATTTATTATATAATATCATTCTTTTATCGACCCTCTAAAGGCATGCATACTCAGTCTCTGTTGATACCCTTAATTGGGGGGAGATTTGAGTTTGAGCGTGATACCGACCAAATCATCCATTTGCAACCATCAATCCAGAAACAGCACTCCTTTATATTATACTGAACACTAGACACAGCAGTGCACATGTCGTAACAAAGTGTTAAGGTGGAAAATGTTCCTGTTATCCTTAAGTGGGGCCATATTGTTATATGAGTGTGTTCAGGCCTGACGAGTGGGAGGGGAATAGGAATAGGCCGCAGTATCAGACTCTGAAGGGGGCAAGGCACCTGTTCTTCAAAGTTTTGTTTCTTAACTTATAAATTTATATTAAAAATAAAGTGTAGATAATATTATATGATAATTATGTATAATAATCACACATTATTTTTTTTTTCATATCTTACAAACGCCTCAAATTAGGTTTTAGGGGTAAATTTAATATTTGACAAGAGTTCGAAAATTTATCCCTCGGGTCTGCGGGTAATCTCCACAGCCCTGAATGTGTTTCAGCCCACACAATACTAAGGATTGTTAAAAATACCAGGGCAGATAATTTAATATATTATTATCAAGGAAAACTGTACAATGGTAAAACTACAATTTTGGAAGCTCTACTAACTCACGTGCGAGAAAATGTTTCTATTATTACATTAATAAACATTTTGAATTCATTTAACCAGTTTCCCTTTCATAATTGTTGAAATACACTAGCCTATAAACAAAAATAATTTTTTTGCTCCCGGATTGAAAGTAGTTGATTTTGATGGTTTGGGATAGGTAATTGGGTAAAAAAAAAAGATATCACACACAAAAATGTATCTTAGTTCCTGTTTTAATGATATACAGTTTTTATTATATATAAAATGGTAATAACAGTTAAACATTTATCTTTATGCATTAGAAATTAATCAATTAACATTAGAATTGTTTATACAATATTTACATTCTTAAATAAAAGAAATTAGTAGTTGAGTTATTCATATTGTTAGTAGAATTTTTTATTTACTGTCCTCTGAAAAGTTTCTTTCTGCTTGTTGCTTGAGCACTTTGTCTGGAATAGCTCTCTTTTAAAATATAGATATCTATTGAGACATTTTTGTTGGTCTATGTAAATACTTACTTTAACTTCAGGTGAAAAAAGATTCCATAGCTTAAGTTGAGGTCCTAAGAGTTCGAATTTTTCTTTGGAGAGTTTTAAATCTTGTATCAGGTCGATTATCTCACTGTATGTAATTCTGTGTAGCTAATTCAAGTCATCTGCTGAATAAAAATCAGAATCTTGTGACATAGTATCACTTCCAACAACCTCTGATATGGATTCATTATGATTAGGCCGCAGATGATAGTATTTAGGAGGGTTAGGCTCCAGAAGCCCTTCACTATGTGGGGCTGGTCTAGAATATTGTACAATCTACTGCTTACTTTCACTTACCTATACAGGGTGTTCCATAATTGCACGGCACTATTTTATGTATGTGTTCACTAACACAAAATAAACAAAAAAGTTCATTTTAACATATATCTCAAACTTATTTATTAAACAGATATCAAAGGTTAAAGATCTATTATTTATTTAGTACATTAAGACTGACTGTACAAAGTTTAACATGTTTATTACTAAATAATAGGTTTTAATCACCTGATAAACAAATGAACGATAAGCAATGACAGTAGCTGCTCATCTGTTTGTCTAATTCTGTGTGTTTTAGTGTGAGTGAGTACTATGACACATTTCAATTTATGATTATCATGGGAGACACCGTAAATTTGTTCACTTTTGCAGAACAAACAAACATGCTTTAACTTATGGCGAGGTACATAGAAACGGTGCTGTTCGAAGATATCATGAAAAATTTCCTAACCGAAAAATACCAAATTGTAAAATATTTGACGCTATTTAAAGACGCCTTAGGGATAAAGGCACGCTAAAACCCATACGAGTAAACGCTGGTACAAAGATTTCATCAAACTGCAAATGTTGAAGATGAAATACTCGATGCTGTTCAGTTATCTCCTACTACTAGTACCAGAAGATTGTCACATCGTTTCAATGTTTACTAGCGTATAGCAAACTTTACGCGAACAACAATTGTATTAATTTCATGTATCGAGTAGGCAACATGTGTTACCACAAGATTATAACAAGTGCAGAAATTTCTTCCAGTGGTTAATTCGACAATGCACACAAGATCCTAACTTCCTGAACTGCATTTTGGTTACTGATGAATCTTGCTTTACAAAAAACGGGATTCTTAATTTTCGAAATACCCATACTTCGGCTGAAGAAAACCCTTGGACATTACCAACATACCTTTTCATTAAATGTCTGGTGTGGTCTTCTAAGCGACATCATCATCGGCCCCTTCTTTTTGCCACCTAGGCTGTCAGGTATATCTTACTTGTATATTTTGCAAAATAATCTTCATGAACTCCTAGAAGATATTCCGCTAGGCATTAAAGCTGTGGTTTATGCATGACTGTGATCCAGCTCACTTGTCTTATAGTGTCATTGATTATTTAAATTCAACTTATGGAGACCAATAGGTTGGTCGAACCAGACCTGTTAAATGGCCACCATGATCTCCGGATTTAACGCCATTAGATTATTTTGTGTGGGGCTGGATGAAGTCTATGGTTTATTCTGTGGCAGTTGGCACGCATGAAGAGCTAAGAAATCGGATCGCGGAAGCAGCAGTAACTATCGAGTACCATCCTGATGCTATATAAGAGCCTGAGAAACATGGATTCGTTGTGCTGAATCTTGCATTCAACAAAACAGAGGAGGCCCCTTTGAAAATTTACTCTAAATGTTGTAATAGTAATAATAAATCTTTAACCTTTGACATCTGTTTAATAAGTGAGTTTAAGATATATGTTAATATGAACTTTTTTGTTTATTTTGTGTTAGTGAACACATATCTAAAATAATAATAATAATACTTTATTTATTCTGGGATGAGTCCCTTTAGAATAATAATAATGGAACTATATCAGAGATACATAAATAAAAATAGAGAGTAATTAAATAGTCATAGTAAAAAAAATATATAAGTTGCTTTCTAATTTTGATCAGTTAATAATAAAAAATTTATAAAAAAACATGAAGAACAAATTAATAATTTATGTACATATTTACAGTAGTATCTATTTACAATTTTATGGGAACTGGATGGATAAGAAATGATTAAACGGGCGGGATTTAAAGGTAGGAAGGTTATTGGATTTACGGATGTGGGAAGGGATAGAGTTCCATAGGGATGAAGATCGAATAATGAACGATCTGTCGAAAGCAGCGGTTTGGTGGGCCCTTATGTACAAATCAGAAGACCGGGAATGAGTATTGCGGGAACGAACAGAGTATTTGAATTGAAGGAGCTCAGAGATGTATGAAGGGTGGTGGGATTGGATGACTTGAAAGAGGAAGGATGCCAGGAAATACTTGGATGGTACGAAGGATAAAGCTACTTCAACTCTGCATAAAAACGGGAAACAGAGGCTTCCCTTGGGATCCCAAAGATGAATCGTACAAAGAAATTTATTAAACATTTTAGTTTCGCCTCGAGATCCTCAGAGATGCCCCATATACCGTACAGCATTAGTCAATGTGGGGAAAAATTAAGGAAGTGACTAGGAGCCTACGGGTTTCAAAATTAAATAGGTGACGGAAATAATTGAAATGTTTTAGGGTGGAAATGGTACAGCAGGAAATATTGAATATATGGTTTTTCCATGAAAGCATTTAATTAATGGTTATTCCAGGGTTTTTGACGGCGGGGTAAAATTTGATGGGATTATTATGTATCAAAGAGTTGGAATATTAGAAACAGTTTTCAGGAGGTGATTGAAGCCTATTAAGATTGCCTTCTTCTTTTCCGCATTCAGCTTCAACTTTTTAGCTCTCACCCAGTCACAAATCCTATCCAAGTCTTCTTGAAGTTTTTCTATTTCTGATAATAGGTCGGAGGGCGGGAAGGACAGGTATATTTGGAAATCATCTGCATAGATATGGTATTGGGAGTGATGGATCAGGAGGGGAAGGTCATTAATGTAAATAGCAAACAGAGTAGGAGATAGAGAGGAACCTTGAGGGACACTACAGGAGAAGGGAAGGCTCTTATATTGAGGTTGACCCGGGACCGATTTGAAAGGCAGGATTTGAACCAGTGCAGAACACCGTTGGATAGAGGAAGATTGTGCAATTTATTAAGCAGGATGTTATGGTCAACTGTGGCAAACGCTTTGGAAAGATCTAGAAGGATGAGGATAGTAAGGTTTTGGTGTTCAATAGAATTTTGGAGGTCATGGTTTATTTTAAGGAGAGTTGATTGCGTTGAGTAGCCAGGTCGAAAGACAGATTGGAATGGGTTGATAAGGGAACATTCCTCTAGGAAGTTGGAGAGTTGATGTCCAAACAAGGCATTCTTACGGCTTTGAAAGGTTGCATAGGAGAGAAATAGGACAGAAGTCATGTAGTGAGGTAGGGTTGGAAATTTTATTCAAAGGTCGAACTAGGGCGATTTTCCAGGAGGATGGGAATATGAAGTTATGCTATGAAAAGTTGTAGATATGGTAAAGAACAGGAATAAGGTCAGGAAGGCTGGACTTTATTAGTTTTACTTGAATATTATCAGGACTATTATCATTAGTGTGAAAATAGTGGAAAGTAATTCATCGTATGACACATGGGAGAAAAAAAAAGTCTTCAGGATTGAAGTTGTGATGTTTAATATCAAAAGTAGGAGAGAAAGTGTGAGTGAAGGATAATCAATGGTTATTGAGATCATCTTGAGAAAGAGAGAAGGAACTAAGATTATTGGAATCTGGTAGGGATAGATTATGGAGTATTTTCCATTTAGATTTGGAGTCGGAATAGTGCCGTACAATTACGAAACACCCTGTATATATAGTAAGGAAAAGTTTTGCGATTGGGAAATTTTTTAATCTAAATTTACAATGGAAATACATGTTTTGAGGTCCCCTGAGTCCAAATAACCAAGTCCTGCGAAATGGTTTATGTGTGTATGTGTATGTATGCGTGTGTATGCGTGCGTGTGTGTGTGTGTGTGTGTGTGTGTGTGTGTGTGTGTGTGTGTGTGTGTGTGTGTGTGTGTTTCAATTCTAAAATGTTCAATTCATTTAGCGTTTAAGAATGGCTTCGAATTCTCCTGAGAGTCCACCATACATCGGACAGCCATAGTCAAAATGGCGGAACACTAGAGTGGAAACCAGGAGTTGGTGGGACTTGTATGGAAAGAGATAGTGCAGACGGTTTAACTGTTTCAGGGTAGAGATAGTGCAGCGGGAAATTTGTGGTTTCCATTAGAAAGTTTGATCAAAAGTAACACCTAGGTTTTTTACGGAAGTATAGAATGAGATAGGTGAGTTGTTCAGGAGAAGATTGGGGAGTGTCAATAAGGATTTGAGGAGTGAGGGAGTTTCAATTAGGATGGCTTTCATTTGATTGGCATTTAGAGTGATCCGATTGCAGTTTGCCCAAACACAAATTCCGTTTGTATCTTCCTGTAGTATTTGAATAGCACCCGAGGAATCAGTCAGATTGAAGGAGAGGTAAATCTGGACATCGTCGGTGTACAGATGTTATTAACAGTGAATGATAGAGGGTGAGAGGTCATTGATGTAGATGGTAAAAAGGGTGGGAAATAAGGAGAAGCCTTGAGGGGACACCTCTGGACAAGGGTAAAGATTCTGATGGTGGAGTTATTAGGGATTACAACTTGCTGAGAGGGACCTTTAGGAAATATTGGAACCATTAAAGGGCACTAGTAGAAAAGGAGATATTTTTAAGCTTGGTTAGGAGGATTTTGTTGTCTACTGAGTCAAAGGCTTTGGAGAAGTCAAGGAGAATAAGGATGGTGAGTTTCTGCTGGTCTAAGGCTGTAATAAGAACAACGTTTAAAAGGTTAAATCAGTTTTTTGTTATCAAAATGGAGTACAAATTGACTACTTTCAATCCAGAAGCATTTTGGTTGTTGGCTAGTGATATAATTTCAGGAACTACTTGTTTGTTGTTATATTAAATGAGAACATTAAAAAGTAGGTGATCCACATTTTTCAATTTTTTTTCTTTTTATCAGCTGCACCAGTCATGCCAAAGTTAACAGGCAATTGTAATTGTTGAAGCTATTTGAGGTGAATATATATATATATTTTACTTCTAATATTTTTTTATTACCTGATCTGTTTGACCTTGAGAAGCATTAGGGCCAATTTATGTTGATCCTCTTTTATATCCAATGACAGTTATTATTTCTGTATCAGAGCTGAATATTTTATCGAAATCTGCTTGTTGTCCAATGTCTTCTTTCCATTGCCTCTTTTTGAACCATAAGTCTATATTCTAGCAGAATACCTTCAAATTTTATATTTTCAGTCATTAATAATCTCTTTATTCTATTATTTAGAATAAAAAAATTTTTTTTATTCACTTTCACCTCAGTTTCTCCTCAGCTATTTGAAACCCTTATCTGCTGGGTTACCACAGGTTATGAGAAGGGAGAGGATTCCTTCCTAGTTAAAGCTTATTAGTTTGCATCTGAAGAAAAATTTCATTTAAGGATTTGCTTGACTTGATTTGTTATTAATATTATTATATATATGTTTTAGTATAAATTTATGTGAATTATTTGAATATCATTTGTCAATTAATTCTTAAAGAATAAATAAATATACTGTCAAAACTCCGCAAAATGATTTAATCTTCTTTTTTGTTTTTCAGGAAAAAGTTTCATGCAAATGTGAAAAGCCGATTTTTCTTAACTGATGAGGACATAGTATCTTTATTTCCCTCCAAAGAACCTATAACATGTCATCGGTTGGTTACAGTCTCCAAGGATCTGGTTAATGCTTATGGGTGTCAAAATAGACCTTTATTTTTTGAAACAGAAGAAGTTCTGTACCCGACAATATTTTCCCTATGGATATGCCCAAAACTTTTACCATCGATACCTATGCATGGAGGTTTAATTGAAAAACTGGTTAATGGGGCTGATTTAATGATTCCTGGAGTGACTTTAAGCTTAGATGTTTGTAAAAAAAATGAAATAGATAAAAATACACTTGTTTATGTTTGTACATTAGGTAATATAGCCGCTGTTGCTGTCGGTATCACTACTACCTCTACTAATAATATGCTACCAGGTAATAAAGGCAAGGCTGTTCACATTTACCATACAGTTAATGATGAATTATGTAAACTATTTGAAATGAAAGATCCTATTCCAAATATAGGGCCTCTTATTACTGGAAACTGTCAGGTAACCTCAACAATAGAGGATTCTGTAAATCAGGTGCCTACAACAGATCCAGCCCGAAACATCGACTCACTTATTAAATCCCTGAGTGTAGATGATATTACATTTCCAGCAGAACAGCCACAGGAAATTGTCTCAGTTGGTGGGGAAGCAGAGGTTATTGAAAAGAATGGGGGAGTTAATCAAGAAATGACAATGGATGAGTTAATTATGTTCTGTTTTTTAAAATCTTTGAAGACAACTGCTTCGAAAATGAAACTACCTATATTAACTAATATATTCTACAAAAATCATATGATAGAATCACTGCCTGAGGACTCTTATGTTGATATAAAAAAAAGTAAATATAAAAAGCTATCCAATTTTTTGTCTGAAGTTGCTGAAAAAGGCATAATATCCTTACAAACTGACAAAGGGGTTCAATCCATAGTATCAATTAATTATAATCACGAAATGCTTCGAAACTTTAAAGTTGAAAAAAAAAACATCCCTGAAAGTAATACTCCAATCAAATTTGAAGTTGAAGAGAAATATGTTATTAATGGCTGTGTTCATAGCATTTTTTCCAAATATAATTATAAGTAAGTATTTACAGATTGTTTTAAGACATTTCTCATTTGTCTTATTTTATTTGATATTGTGTATTATCCATTGCTTGTTTTTAACAACAAATAATATTTATGAAATCACCCATAAATAAAAATAGAGAGTAATTAAATAGTCAGTAAAAAAAATTATAAGTTGCTTTCTAATTTTGATCAGTTAATAATAAAAAATAAAAAAACATTAAGTAAAAATAATGAAGAACAAACTAATAATTTATGTACATATTTACAATAGTATCGATTTACAATTTTATGGGAACTGGGTGGATAAGGAATGATTGAACAGGCGGGATTTAAAGGTAGGAAGGTTATTGGATTGACGGATGTGGGAAGGGATGGAGTTCCATAGGGATGAGGATCGGATGATGAATGATCTGTCGAAAGCAGTGGTTCGGTGGGCCCTTATGTACAAATCAGAAGACTGGGAATGAGTATTACGGGAATGAACAGAGGATTTGAATTGAAGGAGCTCAGAGATGTATGAAGGGTGGTGGGATTGGATGACTTGAAAGAGGAAGGATTCCAGGAAATACTTGGACGGTACGAAGGATTAAGCCACTTCAACTCTGCATAAAAACAGGAAACAGAGGCTTCCCTTGGGATCCCAAAGATGAATCGTACAAAGCAATTTATCAAAAGGTTTCAGTTTTATCTCGAGATCTTCAAAGACGCCCCCATATACCGTACAGCAATAGTCAAAGTGGGGAAAAATTAAGGAAGTGACTAGGAGTCTACGGGTTTCAAAATTATATAGGTGACGGGAATAATTGAAATGTTGTAGGGTGGAAATGGTACGGCAGGTATTATAAAACTATCATTATTATTTATGTCATTTCTCTGAGTAGGGAAAAAGAAAAGTCTCTGTTCATTACTTCTACGAATTTGTATTTTTAAAATAAACAATTTTTATAATTTTTGGTATTTAGGAAGAATATTCATTCCATTTTTTCTTTTCAAAGAGACAACTGGGTTAACTAAAATTGTCTATTATCTTCTATTTTAAGGTAGCAAGTGTTGCTATACCAGTTGTATGAATATGAACCCAGGATTTGACCTTAAATGGCTGAAGTTGCTAATGTACCTACCCTTAAACCACATTATTGGCACCATTTTATTTCTTCGACAGCTGGCAAATATTTTCAGTTCAAAACAATATATTATATTACAGCATAATTTTAATGGCATTGAAAATGTTGTTTTGTGCCTATAAATTGTGACAGCATTAGTTTTCTGTTAACATTTAAAGAAAATACTTCAGAATTGCACTGAGTCCTTGCCAATGATTACGATGAGCATGCTCTTGGTAAATCACAGTGCTTTAAGTGGGTTTAAAAAATGAAAAGTGGAAATCTTGATGTGGGAAATGATGAACAAGGAAGACCACTGAAAAAGTTTGAAAACAGCAATGTTGATTAAGGATCACTCAAACCCAACAACTACTCGCAAATCAATTGAATGTAACACGAGAATCTGACTCCATACATTTAAAAGCCATGGGTTTCGCAATTTCAACCCAGAAAAAGGAAAAATGGGTTCCACATTAACTGAATGAAAGACAGCCAGAAAATCGGATTACCACTTCCTAAATGCTGCTAATCAGGTACAAAAAAATCACATTTCTCCATCGAATGGTGACATATAATGAAAAGTGGATATATTATGAGAATCTTGAGTTGCAAAGTTCATTGGTAACTTCATATGAGCCATCAAGATCTATTGCCGAATTGCTATGAAAAAAAGACACTGCTTTGTGTTTGGTGGGATCAGAAGGGTATGTTATTTTATGAGCTGCTAAAATCTGGCGAAATCATTAATACTGAGCTTTATAAACTATAAATGATCGATTTGAATTGAGTATTGTGTGAAAAATGACCAGAATATAAAAAAAAAAAGTCTTCACAAAAGTGATTTTGCTTCAAGTTAATTTACCATCACATGCAGCAAAACCAGTGTTGGAATGATTGAAGCATTCATTTTGAGAAATATTAGAGCATGTGTTTTACTCACCAGACTTGGCTCCAACAAACTACTATTTATTTATGCACGCACTAGCCTAGCAGTGCTTCACTTCTTCTAATAGTGTGATGACTGGTTCTCCACAAAAGAGCAACAGTATTTCTATCATAGCTTTCATAAATTATCCAAGAGATGAGAAAAATGTATTTCTAGCATTGGAATTTTTTTTTTAATTTAAATTTTTCATGCAATAAACATGTATTACATATGTGAAAATTCTGATTTCCTATTTACAAACCTGGTATATTTTATTTTACTTAAATCGTATCTCTGGATTTAGAAACTCACTCATCATGCAGTGCTAGAATTACTACTTGTGTCTACCATAGTATATAATGATATAGTCTCTTGGGTGCCACTTTTTTTTTTTTTTTTGTTCTTCCCTACCTCGCCTTTTAGGCTATACGGGATTTTCCCGGGCCGGGGGGTGAGGGCGGGGAATTTAAAATCCCCTCCGGCACCGGGACGCGAACTCGTACTTTTTAATATCATCTCAAATCTCTGTTATCCGGTTGCCAGGCAACTAGCGGTGCTGTTACACACGCTTTAGCCTATTCGGCCACCCCGCCCCCCTCTTTGGTGCCACTTATTGGGGCCTAAGATATCCAGCAACAATGACCATTTATAATGGAGTCATACTGAGTATTCTGAGGAATGCCTCTCCTGCAAGTTCCCAGAACCTCTCTGGAAGTCTTTGCTGTGAGTCACCAAATTGTACTGGATTGTGTCTCATGAGGTAGTGCAGGTCTTAGCAGGAGGAGTATCTCATTAAAGAAGTTCAGTTGGTCTGCCCAAAAATATTGCAGAGAACCCAAGAAAATAGAAGAAGACAAGCCAGTAGGACATAACTGAAGAGTGGAACTGGCAGTGGGTGACAGTCACAAAAGATTTTAGCTTAATAAAATGTTTCCTTATCGTTCAAGTATGATTGGATAGAAAATAGGTCTTCCTGGACCATTGGGTTTCAGAATTTCTTACATGGTATAAGGGCTTTCAAGTGAAGTTTCATGCCTTTGGATAGGATTTAAATCTCATGTACATTATATATGAAATTCCGGAGATGTCTGAGCACTTTATTTTGAATTGCTCTGTCTTCGAGGCACTGAGGGCTAAACTAATGAGTGAAAATGGACTCTACATCCTAGAGGAGAATTACTTCCCTTTCTTAGTGATTGAACAAAAACTACTCATACTAAAAAGAATTTTTCTCCCCTTGTCCCCCATATTGCATTTCTGCTGTGATACCATTGTATTCTGCAATGAGTCAATAGCTTTTCCTGGCTGAAGTTTTTTAAAAAATCAAAATCAAATAATTCATCTCTTTTAAATTTACTGATTTAATATTTTTTTCTTATAAATTTAATTTGATTTGTTTTTAGTACATTAATACTTTTACTTTTTCTAAAAGTTGATAGTATATTTAGTCAGAAAGTTATTTCCTATGTATTTTTAATAACTTTAATATTTTTTTTAATTTTCAGAAAAGGTGATAGTTTATTAAGTCATGAAGTTCGTAAATGTATAACAGCTTATGTAAAAAATGGAAACCTTGTAGATCCTGATAGAGACCAGTAAGTTTACATTTGTATTTTTCATGATTTGTTATTTACGGTCTTTTTTTTTTTTTTTTTTTTTTTTTTTTCCAGCAAAATTACACCGCGGCCTCAGTTGGCCTATTGTGCGCTGGCCATATCCCCTTCAAAACCATTCAAGGCCAATGGCCTTTGCAAACCTAATTAGACCCATTGGGTCTATTGTTTCGCAACGCTTCAGATCTGGGATTCGGTCAATTCCAAAATGTAGGAACCGAGTCCTAGCCAGGATATCACAACCACAGATTATGTGGAAAGCGGTTTCATCTTCCAGCCCGCAGAATCTGCAGGTTGGTGTTTCTATTGTTCCCAGATTATGGAGATGTTTATTCAGTCGACAGTGTTCTGTATAGAGTCCTGTAACTGATCTAAGATTCTTCCTGTCCATATTGAGGAGTGATTCACTTCTGTCCCTGATGTGTCAGGGATTTAGCCTTAGTTCCCAATTTGGCGAATCTATAAGCAGTACTAAAAGCCTGCGCCTCAATTTCCAAGTGCAATGGTGCAAGGTTCAAAAGTACCTCCATTGCAGCAGTGGGAGTAGTACTCATGGCACCAGTTGTCATTAGACATGCCATTCTTTGTAGTTTCTCTAGTAAAAGTTTGGATTTACTAGCCGTGGCCCTGTGCCACCATACAATGACAGCGTATAGTATCAGGGGTCTAATTGCAGTTTTATAAAGCCATAGTGCCATTTTTGGTTTAATGCCCCAGGATTTCCCTATGGCTACCTTACAAGCCCACAGGCAGCGAGTTGCCTTTGTACTAATATTCCTAATATGACTAAGCCATTTTAGCTTACAATCAAGGGTGACCCCTAGATGTTTAACTTCACTAGAGATGCCGACAGCAATGCCGTCTAGGGATGGTTCTCTAATCACAACATTCCTCCTGTTAGTGAAGATGCATATGTTGACCTTCTGGGGATTGATGCCAAGCCCACTGTCTGTACACCAAGACCCCAGCAGGCCCATCACTGTTTTAAGTAAATTGGATATAGTCTCAGGGAATTTGCCACCCACCAATACGGCAATGTCATCTGCATATCCCTGAGCATAGAATCCCTCGGAGTTCAGCCTTTGCAGCAGCGAGTCGGCAACTAGGCAACACAGAAGTGGGGATAATACACCCCCTTGTGGACACCCCATCTGGGGTTTTATCCATAGTTCCGTGTCCCCTAATTTAGATTTTAATAGTCTCATTCAGGAATGATTTGATCCATTCTGAGGCTAGTTCTCCTACTCCCTTCTTATCCAATGCTCTCATCACGATATTATAGGGAGTGCGATCAAAGGCACCTTCAATATCTACAAAGATACCTGCCATAATTTCCTTTTGTGCTAAGCTTTTCTCGATCCTGGCAACAAGACAGTGCAACGCTGTCTCACAGGATTTGCCAGCTTGGTACGCGAATTGTCGCCAATGCAGTGGCCTTTCGATTAATGTAGTGTCCCTAATATGTCTATCCACCATCTTCTCAAGCACCTTCATCAAGAATGAGGTCAGACATATGGGTCTATATGCTTTGGGATTGTCATACGACTCTTTCCCAGGCTTAAGTATGTAACTAACTATATGGTCCTTTATTTCCTAGTTATAATATAACATTTTTAAACCCAGATTATGTACAATATGTGTGTGTAGGTCAGCAATTTTAATAATTTAAAGTTGATATGTCTATTTTTATGAGTGACAAATTATCCATATAAGATATTTAGATTAATAACTGTCTTACTTTGTTGACTACAAACTATGCCAGGGTGTCTACTTACCAGGGATCCCTTTAAAACAAAAAAATTCTCTTGTATGGGCAAAATAAGTAAATATATGAGAACTTTTTTATAATTTCTTGAAAATTTGTTTATACTCTACAGTTATACAAACAAATTTTTACTATTAATTTGATGAAATCATAATCTTTAGAAAATTTCAAAGATTATGATCTAAATGCTGTTGAATGTATATAAGAATATTCCACCCTAATTGGCCAGTGAAAGTTTTGACAGTACCAAACATTTGCTTATCTCTTTAAGATGATAATCTTAGTAAACAAAAAACTAACAAAGGGGTGGTGGTGGAGGCAGTAACATGCTTGGATTTAAACTACTTATATTTCAAAAAGAAAAAAAAAATTAAAAACAGGGCAAATTGTGAATAACTGTTAAAATCTTAAGCAATCTCTTTTATGGCTACGACTTAGGTATCTCAGGGTGGTGACCGACCTGGAATTTTAAAACCGGGAAAAGTCAGGGAATTTTTTTAATTCGAAAATATTCTTTGTAAATTGGAATTATTACACAGTGGATTAATATAACGAACTTAAGAGTCCTGGTAAATTTCGTTGTTATAATGTATAATTGTTATAGACAACCGGACCATCTTCATATTTATATCGTTATATAACCTATATCTATCCATTTGTCACTGTAAATAACGGCCCTGGCCGTTCTATTGGAATTAAACAAGAGTAATGAATAAAATGTAAGCAAAATGGAGTTAAAACAGTGCTTTTTAAAAAAGAAAAATATAAAAATACTATTTACTATCTGCAAGTATACATCTATTCGTTGGTTAACTAAAGGAGAACGTTGCAGCTTCTCGTAATTCATGTTTAGGTAGAATCGTAATATGCGAATAAGCAAAATGTCAGACCGCTCGGACTTCAAAACGCATTTTGGTCCTTAATTTTGTGATAATTGTTATGCATATCAACAGAATATATAAAAGCTATGTAATATGTTTACACATCCTAGTTCTGTTATAAAATAGTTAAATTAGCCAAAGATAAAAAGCACTTAGTTTGTGAACGACAGGTACTACAAGGGAAATACGACTTCGATTCTCTGAGCTTTAACAGCCGTTTAATCTTCTTACATATTAACGTATCTGTATGAGGTACATACGAAACTTAATGCTCTTTCAAATTGATTATATTGAATTTCTTTGATAGATTCATAGATTATGAGTTTTGGGGAAAAACCGACAAAAATAGATTTTTCTTTTGAAAAATGCAAACAGTCAATATTCTCTTACTGCTCACCCGTTAGCCCTACATCAAAAAGCTATGCATAAAATTGATAGTAAATTTTATCTTCTTTAACGTTGTATATAATAATAATTTCGATAAAATGCCCAATTTACGTCAATCAAAATTTCAGTTGTCAGTTTTACCATTAAATGGACCGTCAAATTTTGCCTGGTTAATTTAAATTTTCATATAGAAAGCAAGTTTTCAACTGACTGAACGAAGTTGTGTGTTCAGATGAGGTTTATCTAGAATTTTTCTTATATCTAGAACTTTTTGCTCTTCGTTATTCTTATTAAACTACTAAACACAAATATAAATTTAACACTAAGAGTGGGAATGAAATTGGCCCTATAAATGTGATTCTTACATTGAGAACGAATGAAATAAAATATTTCCTCAATAAGTGAGATATAATCACGAAGGTTTTTAGGAGTTCAAATGTCGCCATATACGATCATTTTTTCTAAAAACTCGAAATCAATTCAGTAAATCCAATCGCTATATCTATTCAAAATCACATTATAAAATCCATCTGAATCATCCAACATGGCGTTTTTGTTGTTAAAGCCAATACATCGTTATAACCGTTATATACCATTTTGTAATTCGAAAAAATTTTAATGTAAGCTGCAGTCTTGATTATTTTAACTCCTTCAATATTGTTATAAACTATAAAACCACATCGCTATTCCAACTTAGTAAAAATTTTATTTTAATAAATAGTTTTTTACGTTCTCCCATTAATTGATCGAGAGATAAATAACTTGAAACTACAAATTATTATTAATTTAACACATTAATTATTAATACTAAAAATACAATTGAAAAATCATGACCTCGGTTCAGACGACAAAAGTCTCAGAAAGTGATAGGTCCAATGCAGTATATGTATGATGCCAATCGGGGTTGTTTATGGGAGTTTTTTTTTTATATTCAGTTTTGAACTCCGCAGAAACCAGAAATTTAGTTTAGAGATATCCAATTGTCGATTGGTACTATTATTGAAAACTTCGATTTTACAGATAGTTCAGGAAGGGTTGAGTTGCCTTCTGATTTTTAACTGTATGTTTAATATTGGCGAACGATAGATACCTTTATATTATTTAAATTATATTTTTATTTAAAGCATGAGACAATGGTGGCAATTCATTGGCTGGTAAGCACCTGTTCGTCCTGGAGAAGATATCAAGCCCAAGCCGCGCTAGAATACAAAATGGCGGCAATGTGAAGATAGAAGAGACCTTACATAGGATGCACGCGTATATATAGAGAGAGCTTATAGATATATCTTTATATATAAAAGCTACCAACACTTTCAATTTATATTATTTACAGTCTTAAGACCTGAAATAAAAGTCAGTTACCCCATACTCGTAGATTTCGAGTTGGAAAATTGAATTTACGATTAAAAAAGTTTACTTTTATCGTTTTTCACTTATATCAGTAAAACTCTGAGTTATATCTATAGTAGTGTGATATGTGAAATTAAAGCTGACAGAATTTGCAGTATAAATGGTTATATTAGTTTATTCGCTATATTCTATACTTTCCATGATATTCGCCCTCGTAATTCACTAATTTCGAAGAAAAAAAAAATTTTTGCATCACATTTTTATCATTATTTGACTCGCAAACTCTTTATCTTTTCATTTTACGAAAAAGTCATGAGGAAGAAAGTTGTTTAATATTAAATTTTCTTTAATATTATTTTACGATCTTATCTTCAACCATTCAAAGGCTAGAGGAATTATAATTTACTAGGTCATAAAAAAAAATTCGCTCAGCATATTGTTTTCAAATGCCAAATTAATAAGAAAAGAAAATAATGCAACGTATCAAAAGGTAAAAAAATCAATTGTTACTTTATCGATAAATATAATCGACAAAGGAAACAAAAATTAATTTAAATCTTCATTAATGTTTGGAACCAACATGTTTACAAATTTCAATAAGCCTAGCAAAATGTTTGTATCGACTTTATTTATTTTAGAAAGAAAAACAAAAGTGGAGAATATGATTCTCTAACCCCCCAGGAATTTCTGAATCCAATGGTACTCCATTCATGGTATTCGAGCATGACAGGAGCTTATATTTGGTACAAAATCAATTTCGAGCCTTACTGTAATAATATATGTGTGGGTGATTAAACTTCTAAATTATTCAGAAAAACTTTTTCTCATCAGGCCTGTTGATATCATCAATTTATAAGGACAAAGCTTAGTATGAAATATGACACCTTTTTACCACGGGATCCCGGACTATTATAAGAGCATGTACAAACCTGAAACGTCTCAGTTTTTTTATTTGGGTCCGCCCCTTCAACATTGAGACTATACGAAGCTTTTCCTTGGTGGAAGGCATAGATGTTTAAAACTTCCCCGACATTGCCGGGAAATGTGAGTTTTACACAGCTTTAGTCCTCTCAGGTCCAGTCAATGAATGCCCGAACAGAGGGTAATAGAAAGAAGTGGCTGAGACTCAAATTTATATTTCTTCAAAATTCGCCTTAGTTGAAGATGGCTAACTAAGCGACATAGCGAAAAAATGTATAGAATCAATCATATTGCTAATTTTATCAGCTTTAATTTTGTATAGAACGTCTTTGTTGATGTGATGGATAGTTTTCCTGATATAAGTGAAACCCCGAAAAAAGTTCTAGGGGCCTCCTCTCCTCCCCCCCTCCCTGACTTACCACCTAGGAGTGGGGACTTTTAGTATTTTTATTTCTTTACTAGTCAAACAATCTACCAAAGTCAAAAATTGTGTCCCTGCCATTTCTTTCTGTAATCATTCATTGATTGGACTACTCAGCCATCTCACCTCACAGTTGGTATCGTATGGATAATTATTGTTCTGTTTGTGGCAATAAAAAAACTAAATTGCCTTACATTAAAATAAGAATAGCCCGTAGCTCAGTTTATTTCATATTAGATAAAAGCGTCCAGCATCAACATTTACATTCTCTTACTTTATGAAAATAAAGTGCGCAAAGTATCAGTAAATAGGCGATAAAAATAAATTACTTAAGGTCAGTTTGTTGTTAGTATTTGGTATCGAAATGAGGGAAAACACGAAATTTAATCCAAAAAATGGGAAAACACATTAAGCGAACAAGGAAGGAATTGCCAAAATCTCGGAAATGAAAACAAGGATCAGTGTCCATTATATGGCTAAACGAATATATAGTAGACTTATGAACAGAATATTTCAAGGAGCTGCTAAAAGGGAGTCAATAGAGGTTTATTATGGTGAAGACCATTTTATCGGCTAGAAAGATAATTTCGAAGCAATTGGCATGTCATTAGGTCTCGATGAAGTAATCTGAAATGCTAGACATAGGCAACAAATGTTAAGATATATTTCTCCGCTTTTTCAATGAATATTGATTAATATGCCAGTAGAAACTGATTTGATAGGACTGTAGTTTTGCCCCTTTATGAGTAAGGAAATACCAGAAAATTTAATACCCATTGAGATTCATTTCTGTTTAGTATGTTTTCTCTCATTTTGATACTAAATCCTAACAATTATTTCCAGTTACCAAGAAGAACATACAGCATCGCCTTTTCCATCTTTATTTGTGCGTTATTATAGCACTATAACTATGCCATTATAGCATGCCAACTATGAGTACTGAATTATGTGGCAGAGGCCTGTAGGCACCAGGCCAGTACCACTTTTCTGCCGATTAAGTGCATTTTATACAAAACCGCTTCAAATATTTTAAAAATTTGTCAGTGTTTTAAAAAGATAAATATATTTTCCAGATGTTTTATTTCAGGGCGTTATCCTTTATTGTTGGCCATTTAATTACAAACAATTATTTTGTCTTGATTTTCAACTTGAACGTTTTTTTTTTTTTGTTGAAAAAATTGACTTTACTGGTGCTGTCACAATTTGTCTTAATTAAAGTAGAGTGTGTGATGTGTAGTGTGCATCCTTTATATTTTACATAATACATTGGTAATAGGTGTTTGTGTTAAATTAATTTTGAAGTGAGTAACTATATATTTTTTACTTTTTGTAGGTATATCAGATTGGATGATACATTGTCTAGGATATTAGGAACCAAAGAAAGTCTCATAACTTGGGAAAAGTTATTTGATGGTATTTTCAAGAAAATGAGCAATATATATTTTGTAAAAACACCCTATACTGGTATAATTTCTGGTAAAGGAAAATTGCCATTAATTAAACTGTCTGTTGTTACCAAGGCTTCTAACAAAAAAGTAATAATATTTTTCAGTATTTTGTTGTTTATGTATTTTTAAAAATATATTCTTTATATCTATATTTTTTAAAACATATTCTAATGGCTTATTCTTTCATTTAAAATAAAAAAATATTTGTTCTCTTTTTTTTTTCAATCAACAACCACAAAACAGAATTCTTGCTGATAACGTGCAGAAGCTCATAGAAGCTAACCTATTTGAAGTCGGAGTACATTCAGAAAAGATTTCAATTAGAGAAACTTTTCCTAAAGATACCTAGAGATCATCATAGAAATGGTTTTGGTGTAATATATATCTAGACTTAAATCAGTGATAAGGCTTCCACACGGCTTTTACTTTAATACCAAGGAGGCTATTGTCATTTGTAATTACACCTATCTTGCTTAATATAAGTCTAATCTGGGATGAAGTTTTTAAAGGAAGCTCAACAAGAAGTTTATGATTTCTGTTGACTAATTCTGTGTATTGAAAGTAACCAGTATCTTCCATACTGAAACATATGACACAGTATATGAGATAGCCAATATCTCTCATTGCTCAGTTTATATTAACCTTCGTGAAGCATACACATACATATCAATATGAATGTTATTCTGTCTTTTTTATTAGAAGAAGAATAATGATACTTTATTAAATTGTAATATTTACATATGTAATCCTTTCTTTGATTTTAAATTGTATGCTTCTAATTTGTAGGTTACTTTAGTTGACAACCTTGAAGTATTTGGAATTAATATAAATGAATTCTCTAAACAATGTCAGCATGGTGTAGCAGCCAGTTGCACCATAAACACTTCCCAAAATTCAAAATCTGTTCAATTTCAAATTCAAGGGAATCAAAAAGGCTTCATTGCTCAACTACTGATTGGTATCATTTTTATTTTTATTTGATATATGTATATATTTATTTTTGTGTTTGACCATTTAATATTTCATTATTTATATCGGGCAGGATTCTATAATGTAAATACTATAAAAGAGAAGTATGTAAGAAATAAATGGTTTATAAATTACATTTATTTTGACCTAGTAAAAAAATGAACTCCCCTACAATATTTTATAAAGAATAATCAATTGATAACTTATCCGAAAGACTAAATTATTTTTTTATCAAACTTTTAACAATCATGAGGATCCCAAGTTAACTAATTAATGACAGGGACTTCTTGTGGCAAAATTTCGTAAAGTCCAGCTAGAAATGAATTGAAATGTATGGCTTGATTACTTGATTACATAGGTGTTCAGGTGTGAATAAAAAATGTTTATATTTTTTTCAGATATATATATATATATATATATATATATATATATATACTAGGTTGTTACAAAAGTCCTTTTGTAAAAAGTTACATGAACACAATCTTTGATTCCAACTGTCATAATTAATCCTATACGAATGTTTTTATTCCTACTTTTTATATCAATATTTACTTTGACTAACTCTTTATTAATTCCTTGTGACTTGAGTTGGCTTCATGGGGTCATTTCCATTTTTAAAATGCATGTGCAATATCAGAAGTCAAATCGTGATTGTGGTCTTTTGAGACATCACTCGAAAAAAGGTTTAAGCGAAAAGGCTGCCACCGAAGAAATATGCCATAGAAAAATTGCCACACAATGGTTCTGGCTAATCAACAATGAGAATATGAGCCTTGCAGATGAATCAGATGTTGATCTTTTTGTTTAATGTGATAACCAGGACCCACATGCAACTAATCGTGATTTATCAGCCATAGTATGGACTTATAATGCTGCAGTGGCTCAATATTTAAAAAACCTGGACCTAAAAAAATTAAAATCCAGGTCCCACATGACTTGACAGAGGCCCAAGTCCAGCAACAAGTTGATAATTCCAAAATTTTTCTTCAAAATCCAAACGATGACAGATTCAATCACAAATGACAAAAAGTGGATATTTTTAAAAAGCCCTAGCAATCATAAGCTGTGGGTAAGATCAAGTGAAGCTGCACAACCAGAGGTTCACCAAGATTAATATGATGCTTTGTGTTTGGTGGAACTTCCAATATGTTTTGCGTTTTCAGCTTGTTCCTGATGGTCTTGCAGTGGACTGAAACCTTTACCATGAACAGCTAGACAGAGTTTATGCAGTTTTGAGTGCAAAGTACCGTACCCCACTTTGGTCAACAGGAACCAAGCCATTTTGCAACTTTTCAATGCCTCTGCACATCTTTCTTGTTTAATAGAGGAAAAATTATTGGCACTACAAGCATTAAACATTTTGCCTCATCCGTCATATAGCCCAGATATTGCACCATCAGATTATAATTGTTTAGATCAATGGCTCATTTTTTAAGATGTCAGATCTTTGATAATTACAATGACCTAAAACTTAGATGTGAAGAGTTCTTTGCCTCAAAACCAAAAGAAGTGGTACCGGCATCGAATCCTATTACTGGCAGAAATATGGGTGAAAATAGTTGAAAACAATGAATTTTACATTAAAGAGTAGAATCTAATAATGTTTAAACTATGTAATATGAAATAAAGCTATAAATAAGGATGTTTGTAACAACTTAGTATATATATTTATTTTTTCCCAACAATTTCCCTTACTATTTAATCATATTTTTTTAACAGTCATTTAAATAATTCAGAGTACTTCAAGTTTTTACGGAACCAAAAATAAATTGAAATATACCAGAACACAAATTAGTCTCTACTACGTCAATTTGAATTTAACACACATTCGTCCAGTAATTTTTTGCATTGCCATTCACAAAATGCCAGCATCTCATTAGGTCTGTTTAGTAAAAATATGAATTGAATTTATTTAAAATTAAAATAACAAGAATCAATTATTTTCTGTGAGATAAAAATGATGAATTTTTATCATTTGGCTATTGGTGATTGTTGGCGTAGTGACGAATTTTTGTCATGTCAATGAATATGTGTTAAGATATATTATTAAAAAAGAAAAATCTGAGAAGTCCTATTAATCTATCCCTGTCTGTAATTTTTAGTAATACCAGAAAAGCCACAGATTACTGCACTAAAGAAAACATTTATTCTAAAAATATCAGTTAGATAAATTTTATATATATATATATATATATATATATATATATATATATATATATATATATATATATATATATATATATATATTTCATTGTTTTGTTACAGAAAAATATGGAATACCAAAGAAGTATATTGAAGGATGTGAAGACCAAAAGAAAAAAGAATCTCCTCCAAACAAGAAGGAAGAAAAAAATCACAAAAAATGAATACCTAAGTTGAATATATTTTAAGATGACTTAAGTTCCTTGTCCTCTGGATTTTATAATCAAAAAGGTTTGATTAGTATAACGTGATACCTACCGAAGTATTGTAAAAACTGACTTTTTTATAAGACTTAAATTTTATTGAGCTTGGACCTTGTTTTGTGTAAGAGTCCGTTATGCCAACACAGTTTAAATTTTAATTTGAAACTGTGTAGGTGAAATGGGCTTAAAATGTGTTGAAGTTCATTAGTGAGCTTAGGGTGATCATCTTATGAATTAAGTATGCAAGGTACTCATAAACCTTGAATATTATTGTGTTTTAAAAAGATGTTTATGGATGACCATGGCACTAATGTATAGATTTGGTTATAAGTTAATTACGTTCTTTGTTCATGTATTCACGATGGTCAAAAATTTAATTTACCCATTTTAATACTTACTTACTTACTGCTGGGCGCTATGGCCCTACAAGGACCTGGACCTCCTCAAAGATTCCAAGCCAGTAATTCCTATCTCTCGCTCATGTCCTCCATCTTCTTACTCCAAGCAACTTGAGATCCTCTTCAACTTCATCCAACCATCGCATTCTTGGCCTTCCTCTGTATTGCTTCCCTCCAATTTTTCCATATAGCAGGCGTCTTAGAATTCTATTTTCTGGCATCCTTTCCACGTGTCCGAGCCATCTCAAGCGCGCTTTTTTCACCAAGTCTGGTTTGCCATACATTGCACGGAACTTGTAATTGTTTCTTAAACGCCATGTGCTACTTTCTCTTATTGGCCCATATATCCTCCGGAGTATTTTTGTTTCCCAGACATTGAGCTTCCTTTCACTTTCACTGGTCAAAACCTATGATTCACTGCCATATGTAACTATAGGTCTCAGTATGGTTTCATAAATCATGAGCTTTGTTTTTTTGGAAAGAGCTTTAAACTTTAGCATTCTTTGTATGGCATAAGGGCACTTGTTACCTGCAGCCAGCCTGGCATTCACTTCTTCTTTCGTACTGTTGTCATGTGTAATGACTGCAACCAGGTACTTGAATGTGCTTGCACTTTTAAAACTGTGATCGCCACAAGCTACTATAAAATACTATAATAACCAACCAAACAATATTAAGAAATGAATAATAAACAAATGAGAAATGAATAATTAACTAATTTTAACAAACAACCTAAATATAAAATACTATCTAATAATACTATGATCAACTATCTAATAATACTAAGGTAATTACCTAATTACTAATGATATAAGCAATGTATATAATAATAAAGAGTGATATATACATATTAAGCAATAACGTATATGTATCTAAACTAACAAAACAATATTAAGAAATGAATAATAAACAAATGAGAATTGAATAATTAGTTAAATTTAACAACCAACCTAAATATAAAATACTATCTAATAATACTATGTTAATTATCAAGTAATAATGATATAAGCAATGTATATAATAATAATGAGTGATTTATATATATGCAATAAGAAGTAATGTAAATGTAACTAAACTAAGATGAACAGAATATAAATACAAAATTAATGAATTTAATATAATAGAAACATAATAAGAAAATAGAAGTTAATAGAAACATTAATAAAAATGATAACCAAATGTAAGTAAAAATTACAGAATGAAAATTGAATGAACAAGAATAGCATGTCAGTCAAGAATGTCAATCAATAGATAACCTGGAGTCCACATGGGAACTATGCGGTGGCATAAAAACTTAAGTTTTACCTTTCGTCCAGTGGCCCAATTTTGTCCAAATTTATGGGAGAGGTATAACTTAATGACCCGAACACCAACAGACTCACAGGACACTTCTAATAAGTTCACCGGTTGAAAAATAACAGGAAAACCAATGGTTTCACGGCCACGTGGGCACCCCTTGGTGTTATTTTCCCTGATAGCTCTGTTATTTCACATTCAAACTACTTTTTGCACGAAGGTGCACGGACGCAAAATTAACAGTTTTAAGCACAATTCAACTATGGGGAAACAAATGTTCGCCAGTTAAAACGCATTTAAGCGGAGGAGTGTCCTTCTCAACCTCACTCGACGACTCCAGGGACACAACTCCCAATCTTTAGATCATTTGTAGGTATTGCAGTTGTTGGTGCCTGGAAGTTTTTAAATATTTTGTTTTTCCTTCATTTACATGAAGGCCCACTTCTGCTGCTTCCCTTTCAAACTCCTCAAAAGCTTCTTCTATTCTAGTGCTCCACTGCTTCTTGCCATTATGAGTACATCATCCGCATATGCCAAGTGCTGTGTGAATCGATCATAAATTGTTCTATTAGGGTTGTTGGTTCGTATTGCCCTAATAGCTTTTTCCAAGGCTAAATTGAAAAGGACAGGTAATATTGGGTCTCCCTGCCTCAGGCCACTATTTACTTCAAATTCTTCTGATAGCATTCCCTGTATTGTTTATCTTCATCCTGCTATCGTGCATTTTAATTTTTGCTAGCCTAGTGAGCTTCCTGGGAATTACCAATTCAAGCATTATCTTCTGTAGTTCTTCTCTATCAAAGCTGTCATTTTCCTGCTTAAAATCGATAAATAAATTATGGAGGTCAACGTGAATCATATCCCCTTTCAAGAATTTGTCTCAATGAGAATATTTGATCGATGGTTGATCTTCCAGGCCTAAAACCACACTGATAGTTGCCCACTATCTGTTCGGAGAACTTAATCAGCCGTCGGTTCAATAATACATAAAATATCTTGTAGGCTGTATTCAGTAGTGCGATCCCTCGATAATTACCACAAGATAGTTTGTCGCCTTTTTTATGAATGGGGCATATCGTTGCCATTTCCCACTCTTCAAACCAAATATCCCACACCAATTGGAATATATATCTTTTTAAATCATCCCCTCCATTTTTGAGCATTTCTGAATGTATGCCATCAATACCAGGAGCCTTATTGTTACTTAATTCGCCAATGATTTCTTCAACTTCTTCCTGTTCAGGCGGTTCTACTTCTTCATCTCCTTCTCCGGGTACACCCAGTCGGCATTTCAGCAGCTTGATTCTTTCCTCTCCATCTTTGTGCTTAGGCTCTACAAGAATTTCCCTGAAATATTCAGACCATCTCTGCAATATTTTAGCAGGCCCACCTATTATGGCCCCTTCTTTTGTCTTGCATTATGAAATGTTTGGTAGGAAGCCTCTTTTAATTTCCTTAATGCCTTTATAAAGCTTCCTTGTGTTCTTTGAGCTGTGATCATTCTGGAGTTCCTCTAACTACATATTTAGCCATGTTCTTTTTTTCTGACAGAAGATTTTTTTGGCATTCCTCCTCCTGGCAGAGTACTCATCTCGGCTTGCTCTAGTCAGTCTTTGTAGCATTTTTATTCGCTCCTCTTACTTCGCTGTCAGGGCTTGATGGCATTCCAAATCAAACCAACAACATTTCTTCTCTTTCCTAATACTTCATCTGCTGCTTTTCCCAAGCTGATTTTGATAGCATTCCACCTGGTGTCAATATCATTACTATTTAATTGTTTAGAAGCATCTATTAGTTTGTCAGTTACTTTCTGTGCAAATCTTTTACTACATTCCTCTTCCTTCAGTTTACTCACATTTAAGCCCTGTAGCTTTCCAACCATTACTCGAGGTCGCAGTGATATTTTGTATTTGAAGAAAGATTTTACAAGATAGTAGTGATCTGTGTCACAGTCAGCACCTCTATAACTACGTACATCTTCAACGCTGCATGCATGTCTTTTGTGTACCAGTCTATTTGGTTTTTAGTGTTAACATCTGCTGATATCCAGGTTTCTTTGTGGATTTCCTTGTGCTTAAAATGTGTACCCATTATCCTGAAGCTATTTTCTGTATCAAAGTCTATTAATCTCAGCCCATTGTCATTGGAGTCCTGGTGTTTGCTTTGCATACCAATAATTGGTTTAAAAACTTCTTCTTTGCCCACTTTCGCATTAAAATCGCCCAGAATGATTTTTACGTCATATGCAGGAATTTCTTCTAATTCATTTGTAAGGGTCCCATAGAAGTCTTCTTTAACTTCCTCTTCCTTTTCTTCAGTTGGGGCATGTACACTAATCAAGGATACATTACAGAACTTCTCCTTTATCATTATCTTATACATTCTCTTGTTTATTAACTTATAATCTATTAAAGCATGCTTTAATGATTTTCTTATCATGAAACCTGTTCCAAAAACATTGTTTTCATCTCCACTATTTATCATTGTAGATCTGCTCAGATCCTGAATCTCTACATTCTTCCATTTGCTCTCCTGAATTGCCACAATATCCATGTTACATTTATCCAGTTCCAATTCTAGATTCTTTCTTTTCCCTGGTTGGTTTAATCCTCTTACATTCCAAGTCGCTATTTTGAGATCAATTCCTTTTCCATGCCTATGTTGTCTCCTTAAATCAGTCCGGCTATATTTCCTTTGAGGTTTCATAATACTTCTGGTTTAAGGGGTGTGGGTTATTAGTAGTGTTGCCCAAAATCGGTCTTGGTCTTGCCCTTTTGCAAGACCAAGACCAAACCCTGCTGGTCTTGCAGTTAAGTCAAACTGAGAATATTTTCAGGTATAGTACGGTGCTTAAACATTTTAATCATATAATCTAAACAGCGTTGTTTTTTCTTATGGAATTGTATATCTGAGTATATCTTTCCAAATAATAATAAAAAATTAATCTTTTTTTTGTTCTCCCCCTACCTCGCCTTTTAGGTTATACGGGGGTTTTCGCGGGCCATGGATGAGGGCGGGAGATTAATGCCAGAGTTAAAAGAACCCCAGCGGGTACAAAAATTATTTTATTGTCTCTAATTTGGTTATCAGGTTGCCCGGCAACGCACAGTGCTGTCCACAATCGTTAGTCCGCTCGGCCACCCAGCCCCTAAAAATTAATCATTTGCAAGCACCGGAGCAAGATAAGAAAACAAAACATAAATAAAAATTAAGACTAAATGGTTACTAATACTAGCCCATTTTAGTTACTATAATGAAATTTTTCCTCAAAGAAAGCAGACACTCACAGGGAATCAAAAATTCCACTTCCTTCTTCAAAATGAAATTGTTTCTCAGCCAACTAATTTGTGAGAAAACTTCTTTAATATTCACTCAGAGATCACGAAAATGTATCATCAGCTCAAAGGTCCACTGCGAGTATAATTGTTCGAAATGATTGTACGAATGCTGGAGGGTTAAGATACAAGCCTAGTGAAATCATCAATGAACAACGGCTTAAGTCGAAAGAAATTATTTCTTTTGCATTGTCATTTCTGTGTTTGGCCCGCTATTAGCAGTATTCGTTATTTCTTTAAACTTTCTGACCAGCAACTTTTAATCGAGTGTCTAAATTGCAAATACTTTCTGATACACTCATTAATTATGCACCTTTTTCTTTGAAATTTGACCAGAACCATGTTGACACATTATAATCAAATGTGTGCAAATGACAACAAAGGGTTAAGACTAAATTCTATTTTAAAACCGGATTTCTTGGTGGAACTAAGCTACAGGAAAGTTCCGTATAGTCATCCCTAACTGGATATTTTTGGCTATAATTCTATAAATCCGTTTTCCTTTTATTTTCGTTGCTATTATGTGAGCAATGAATATATAATCAAAAATAATATATGAAAATACAAAAATAAATGACAGTGTGGTAGATAACGTGAGATATCTTATAAAATTCAGGATTTTTTTTCGATCATTAGAAATTCTTGTTTTAGCTTCTAAATACTTCAAATACGATATTATAATTTATGTTTTTTTATCTTAATAAATTTGAAATTGGTTTCATCTACTGAAAAACTCGTTTCACGAAAACTGATTTTTTTATTGTAAATTTCAGAAAATATCAATATTATTAGACTTTCCGCTAGCAAAATAATATTTTTTTTTTTATTTTTTATTTATTTTTTTTTTTTTATACTTGTACTGATACTAATAAACAGGATTCAGACCTTCAACATAACATTCAGTATAACATTATTTTTTCTTACCTTATTTTTTAAACGCTTTTTTTTTACTCATACCGTTCAATTATTGTCCATGAATTGTTCTTTATTTTCCTTATAGTTCTTCATTCTTATAATTGATAATTTTTTTACTGTACATCCTACAGATTTTTTATCTTTCCTTTTGTATTTTATTTGATATATAACTTACGACACAGTACTACATTAACGTTTATTTTTATTCTGGTCATAATAGTTATTATAATTTACTAGTAATTTCTTTATATAATTAATAATTTAAGTTTTCCTTCGAGTAACAGGTATTGAGAAACGTCAACAAATATTAATCGCAAGAGGCCTCAAGTCAACTGTGGCAACTATTGTTTGTTAATTATTGATGTATACATCTCAATGATGGTTTTCGAACAATTCTCAAAGAATGGATAGAATCTAAAAATTTGCAGTGGAAGGAATGCACAGAATTGCCATGAAACTTCCAAAATTACATAAACTGTGAAATGATTCCCGATGAGCAAAATAAATGTTGTTTTTTTAGTATTTCTATCCTCTAAAAAGTGGAAAAGCATTTTAGTTGACATTACCAAAGATTTTATAATAATTCTGTGAAAACTGAAATTATTGGTTAGCCAATTTCAGGCTATATTGTTCATAATCTCTAAGTGCCCAAAATAATAAACCCTAAGTACCTAAACTACTAATAAAAGCTTTTATGAATTTTATGTGCGAATCTAACATATGTGCTAAAAACATTAATCAATTAATTGTATAAACATACGTATTTGTGATTTATGAAGTTTAAAATTAACAGTATACGGCTCTAACGATTTTAATGAAACTTTCTTCTAATTTTCTACTTGAAGCCATTTAAATTTTCATATTTTTAATGAATTCTCGAGACAATTCAAGAAAAAAAGTTATAAAAAAAGAAAATTGTTTTGGGGAGCTAACTCACCACGTATACACCTATCGGTTTTAAACGGATCTAAACGTTTCTGAGTCTGTTTTGAAGGCTATTTTTTGAAAGGTTATTAAATTTCTGACAAAAAAATCATCTGAATCGGACCAGTTTTAGCTATTATAGTATATATTGTTTTCTTTACGCTGATTTTAGTGGTAGTTCACTTACCCGTTTACATTGCTTGTTTCATCTAAAGAATCGTACCCTAATGATTTCACTGATCGGTTTTTAATAAAATTAATCTATTTCAATTGTTTTTTTCTGATGGACGCATTTAAAGTTGTATTTTTTTTTTTAAATATATTGGAAAGTTTTGTAAGTGGACACAATAGATTTTTAATTAAAATTATTGAGAACAATATATAAATTGTCTTTACTCTACAACTCTTTCATTCCATATAATCAGAGGGATAGAGGAGGGTTATCGCTATCTTTCTTTATTCTTAATTTTATTAATTTAGTTGTACTTTACAATGTTTATGCCAATAAAACATGTAATTGTAATTATTTTGTAGCGTTTTTCTGAGATTTAAAGTAGCATATTAATAAATAGCAATAACCTGATAGTTAATTGCAAGACCAAGACTAAGGTTCGTTGACACTAGACCAAGACAAGACCGAGGCGGTCTTGGTCTTGGTCTTGCGTTTGGGCAACACTAGTTATTAGCCATTTCATCCCCTGATTCCGGTGGAGGGGCTGCCTCCTCTAAGCCTCCTGAACTGTTTCACCATCCGGGGCTTCCTAGGGTAGGTGACCCTAAGGTATGTTGTGTCTGTGACCTTTGTCTCTAGTATGGGGTGTATGTAGTGTGCTGTAATTAGTGTACTGAGTGTATATCAGAGTACTGTTCCCCCAACCTGGAGGGCCAGTGGCTGTTTGCAGTCTGATGACTGGACGATAGGGCCGACACCTCCCTGCGCCAGATAGCCGTATTAATATCTTGCTTAAAAACATTTAATTTTTATCTAACTTAGTTAAGTTAGCAATACTGTCATCAATCTTTCAACTTACCATTTTTTTAATTAGGTGTTAATGTATGTATTTTCAAGTTAATAATCAGACTGTCTTAAATGCATTAATATCTTATATTATACTTTCATTTTATGTCAGTTACGGTCTTTCTTATTCATGTACCTTAATTTTAGTTTAATTTAATCATTAATATTACTGCAGAGAACATATAAAACCTAAATTGTACAAATGACCCTTTGTCACTCTTTTGTAAAAATAAATTTTACTTTTCAATTTTGTTTCTGATGCCATACATTAGGAGTGTAAAATACCTTATTTCAGTGCCCTGCATTTTAATGTTTACTATTTGTAGCCAAGAGTAATTTATTAAATTGGATTACATTTACATTCTTTGTTTTGTTCTATGAATGTCGTCCTTAACCGTTTGACTGCGGGTCCAAAAATCCAACAAGACGTTCAGAAAAAAAGATTTTTTTGGCATAAATTTGTTTAAAATACTATTTTGAGTCACCCAGCATGATCTTAGCTTTCAAAAATGCATTTTATCCTTTTTATTTAACTTTTAATAAACGGGACATATGGCTTCCCGGCCCCACATGTCAATGCAAAATTAGAGTGGCAATCCCACAACATTTAGCTTTCTTACATATTTGCTCATTTATGAAAAGCAAAATAACTGAGAATTATGATAAAAATATCAGTAAGTGATCATTAAAATTAAATTACATTATTTCCGAAAAAAAGAACACCGACGACGGGATTGGAATTATATATTTCTTTAAAAAGGAAGGAGATGGTCCGGGGTGGCGGTCATAAATAGGCTGAATAGTGGCAAAACTATCTTATTAAAAGCCAACGTTTTGACCCGACTTTGCAGATCTTCTTCAGGGCTAGAACGGACAAGATACAAACAGATAGAAAATTGTGGAAGTTACATAATATTTAGACAAAGAATTATAAACAATGTGAATAAGCTTATTAAAATTATAAACAGTAAGTACATACAAATATAAACAGAGTAAGGTGAGTAACAAGATCCTAAACTGAAGTAAATAGATGGTAACAATTGTTGTAGTGTAATATATAATATATGCAAATGTGAATATACTTCTACAGATCTACAGGAGAGATTGAATGAAAAGGAAAAAGGATATAATATGGTATAACAGACATAAAGGAATGTGGAGAAAGAAAACCCCAAAAAATAAGTAAATAAAATTAGAGACTTACAGGTGTGTTCAGCTAGGAGTTTCACTTAGAACTGGAAAACCAGGGTAAGGGCAGGTATTGGGGAATTTACTGACTTGTTTGGGTAATGGGGAAAAACCTATATCGTGGCAAGGATAGAGGTTTTTTCAAAATCAAATGAATGGTTGAGGGTTAAGTTATGTTCTAATAGTTTGAAGGCGGAAGGGTTCCGGGAAGTTATGGTTGTTTTATGTTGAGAAATGCGAGTTTTGAGATGGTTTTTGGTTTTACCAATATAGGAGCTGTTACAATTAGGATTAGAGCAAGGTATCCGGTAAACTACATTAGATCGGTGTTGTAAAAGTATGGGATCCTTCAAGTTGGTGAAAAGGAAAGAAAGTTTGTTATGGGACTTAAGGCCAAGACTTTAATTGGTTATAGTCGATTTAAGAAATTTTTGTATATTATCTGAGAGAATAGGAATATAGGGAAGAGATTTTTATATGAAAGGAGTGGTAGGTGATTGTGGGGAGTTGGGAGAAGGGGAGGTTGTACTCTTTTTGGTTGTATAGCAGTTTAGAAGTTGAAGTATGGTGTTGAGAGGGAAATTATTGGAAAGGAGTATATTTTTGACACGCTGAGTGTTGGCTTGGTGGTATTGTGGATCAGATAAAGAGAGAGATTGGTGAATAAGGTTTTTGGTGATATGGGTGTTGAGAATAAAGGTTGAGTAGTCTACCTGAGTAGGTGGGTTTAGTGTACCAGTCAGTAGAAACATAGCCATCAGTGTTTTCTATTATTAGGAGGTTCTAAGAAGGGGAGTGAATGGTTAACTTCTTTCTCTATAGTGAAACAGAGAGGGGGGTGGTAAGAGTTAAATGAGGAAAGAATTTGAGGGATCGAAACGTTGGCTTTTAATAAAATAGTTTTGCCACTATTCAGCCTATTTATGACCACCACCCCGGACCATCTCCTTCCTTTATAATGCAACGGTTAACTATTAAATATTTAATATATATTTCTTTGTATATACAAATTTATTTCTTACCTAAAAAAATTCGATATTGAAACATTGCAGTGATAAATTTTACTATTGCACTTATTTTAAATTTCGAACACTTTTGTATTATATGAAATATATATATTGGTTTTAGGTGAATGGAAAAATGATAAAACAACTAAAGTATCGTTTTAATTCTGTATATTTTTACATTTATTAATTTTTACTATTACATTTTATTTTTTGTACATTTTTACATTTATTTGTTTAGTAGGCAGATTCACGTGTACCAAAATCAGCATTCAGTCAAAACTTAAAATTTAAAAAAAAAAATTTAAATTAACTTATTAATATTTATTTGATGTATAAAACATTTAAATAGAATATAAATAAGATCATGTATATAACACAGATATAAGAGAAAAGATATATCTTGGATTCAGAATAAATCTGCAACTGGTAGGTTCCAAATGGTCAGAATCCGGAACGACCTTACTGAGTCAGCTACAGGAGACTAATTAATGCACAAACCAAGCCACAAATCAAATGGTAAAGGCAGGACTTGCTCCTACCTCTTTAAGTGGTGACAACCAAGGATGGAAGGCATATATCTTGACCACACCAGTGACCTAAGTCAAAACCAGGAAGGCATATATTCCGTCCACACCAGTGACCCAACTTCTAACAGAAAGGCATTTACCCCGTCCGCAGTCAAAGAGTTACACGATTCCTGCCCTGTCTATTCTCATATTCTTTGATTTCTCATTCTATCCAATCTCTATTTTATCTATGTAGGTTTTATACAACTCTCAAATTTCTTAATGCTAATCCAGCTTTCAGCTTCATAGGTGAGTGTAGAAATAAAAGCTTTTTATATACAGTCATATATATACTCTTTATCTCAACTTCTCTATTGCTGATTTTGAGATAGAATAAATGATCACGTGGACAACTAAGAAATGAGTAGGAGGACCTCACATGACATCTCGCAAGAAACAGAGAACTCACTCTAGGTAAGAGTATGAAATTGGCATCAGAAAGAGATCTATTAATAAAATAAGTAAACTACAGGGTTGGATAAAGAGGAGATGAATGAATGAAAAGTTTTTCACATTTCTAATTTAAATTTTACCCAACAATAAAAGTAAAATATTAATAGTGACCAATATTTGATTGTGATGATATATACAAATCATGCTTTGTTAAAGAGACATCTTGGAAAAAGTATTTTTGGTCTGGAATTGGATGCATTGTTACACATAAAGGTAGAATTTTTTAAGAGGAGAATCTATGGAGAAATCTTTATGACTACACATATAGTGGATAATTTTCTATCACTAATATATGAATATACTGGTAAATACTGTGTAGTTACACCTTGAAAACAATTTACATCAGTTTAACAGCGTTATTCCTTTATCAAATGAAAAGAATAAAAATAGACTAATTTATTTTCTTAAAGTTAATTAAAGGCCTGGCCAACAGCCGAAACTGTAACACTATAAAACAGCCCTTTTTGCTATGAAGTATGATGTATTGAACAGATCGGTGCTGCATTGTAACGAAGAACTGAATTTAGGAGTAGTAGACGAGTCTGACCAAACAAGAGATTCTCTTTGCTCGGAAAATGACTATATTGATCCCCTGAACTCTTTGAAATCATAGAAGCATTAAATAAGAATATTAAAACCCTCAGAGAAAGTAGTGCACCTGCATAGTCATGACTGCTTGCATTGTGAACTACACGAATCATTCCTTTCCACATGAGTTGAAGAGAGGATTCCAGAACAGAGGAAGATGAAAGTCATATGCCCTCTATACAAATTGCAGGAATTACGCTCTTTCAATGCGGACATTAAGTACTATGTAATATATTGTCCTTCCTGTTTGCTTACAGAATAATATAAAACTGATTTCCAGATCTGAAACTGATCAGGTCTTCTATCTCAGGATGATCATGTAAAAAGCATACAAACAAAGATTTATGACACCATCTGTTTGTAGGCTTTCAAGTTCACTTATCGACAACATTTAAATTCAAAATTCCATCCTCGATTATCATGCTAAAAAATATGACAATTGATAATCTTAAATATTCTGTTAAAATTCAGATAGGGCTTTCTAGAGAGGTGTTAAGAGTGCCCTCTAACAAAGTGCTTAGGTAAGGCCTTGTGTACAAATGCCTTTTATTTAATTTAATTTACTTTTTCTTAACCTTAAAGGAAGCTGCTCAAGAAATGGATCTGACATTGAAAACAAGATCAAGTATATGAGTACCGGTGGCACTAAAACAACCACTGAGAATAAAATACAACAGAGTAGCGGAGTAGGTATGCTCTCATCCCTCCACCACTTTGGTTCCTATCTTGTCTGCTAGCTCAAATGATATCCTTAGATTTCAAGGTATCTTAGCTTTTTTCAAGTATAAATAAAAAAATCTGGTGCCCGCAACACACAACTTTCACTTACAGCTCTACTTTGAATAGAAATTATTTTCTGGCAATGCTGGGCTATTATAAAATTTTTTGAAGTGCATTTTAAACGGAGCTAAAGCTTAAAGCTTACAGATAACAAGTCATTAAGACGATTATAATTACAAAATGTCTATTTAATATATCGACGGTAGGCAATAAAAATCTAGTCACTTCATCTGCTTTTATAAACCACACAACTTTCTTTGCTTTTATAAACCACAGAATGACTAACTCCAATTTCAACATTTTTGAGTAATGTCATTTTAGTGATATTTTTAGGTGAAAAAGTTATCTAAGCAGACACTGAGTAAGTTGATTCCGGAGATGGTGATTGCAGTGTTGAAATATAGAACTGAGAATAAAAGTATAAATTTAGGTCCTTATTTCTTAGGAAAGATACTTTATTAAATATGTGTAGAAAAGGTTTTTTTTAGTCTCAACAATTAAAAAGTATATTTTAAATTTATCCAAATTTTCGCCTCTTCAGGGAAAAAACTAGAGACCATATCTTTCCTCCTAATTGTCCGATTTTAACGATTTTTGTTTGTTTGTTTTTTAGTAAATTCCATAAGCTTTTAAAAAACCATATACAATATCAACAAAACAGTGTATACTTGTTGAGTTATTTGGAATTTAATTTTACCATCCCTCGTTACTTTTTTCCCAGCTTCTTTTCATTGAAATATATTATATAGGTAAATTTAAAGGGTGTCGAGAAAATGACT